TATATATATACCATTTTAAATATATTTTTAAATATTAACAAATTATTTCCAGTAAATCGTATCTCAGGCTATTTCCATTTTCAAGCGCTGGCAGTTTTTGTTTGTTAGCATTAAATATATTCTGCTGGCATACACAGCAGAGTAACTGATAGGGAGGCTAAACATTCTCAGTTATTTGCGAGGGCAAAATATATTTTAATTTGTCCATTCGTATATGTGTGTGTGTCTTTTAGAAAATCAGTTTGGGACACTGAATTCATGCAAGTCTGTGTTTGCACTCTCAGTAGCTGGAGGTTGCTGAGTCTGTGGTCTGAGTGTGAGTGTGTGTGTGTGTGTGTGTGTGCAGTGAGTCTGTGAAACCGCATTTATCTCCGGCCCAAACAGGAGTCGTCACAGGGAGTGCTAAATGGCCCAGCATGTGCAGAAAAAGCCATTTTCTAAATGAATGCCTCTCCCTATATGTGCATCTGATAGAAATCTTCCCTGGGCTATGGTGGCCTGCTAACAAGATTGCTTTCCTTCGTCACTCTCTCTTTCTTCTTCATGCCCAGTTTATTCCGATATTCTTTTCCCACCCTTTCTGGGGAACAAAGTCTTGCAAATTAATTCTAAGCATTTTTTTGCTTCTCAAAGTTATTTTGGAGAAAGTAAATAGAACGGACCTGCCGCATTCAGCGTGCAACAATCTTGAATACATTTTGTTTGAAAAATTGCAAGCAGGTGAGTTGGAAATATTTGGCATGGAGAGAAGGAGAGAAATGGAGAAAGAACGAATCAGAAAGATCACTATCTTAACGCAAGCTGAATGCAAATATTTAACCATAGCGAAAATTCAGATAGCAGATGTTATTCAGACCTCTGGATAGATAAACTCCGTAAACATGGTTAGGACTAGTGATAGAATCTGATGACATTGGCCATTTTGAGAGGATCAGTATCGACTGTTATCTTTACCTGTTTGGCTGAATGTGAACTTCTGAGTATAAATTTCCTGTTTTTTTTTTGGAGTGAATTTTGAGTAAATATATAGTATTGTGTCCAAATATAGTGTTATGTCTTTTAAAAATGAAAATTAATATAAGTTTAGTTAAAACTCTTTAGTTTAGTTTTTTTTTTTTGTGGTTTTACATTCTTTACTGATTAGATTTTTTCAAATGCTTGTACATTTAGTTTCTTCTTTTTTCAGATTTTCTGATACTTTTTTGCTTCAAATAAAAAATTTAATAAATTAAATAAAACATTTTAATGTTGTGATTTTTCTGGGAGCCTGTTAGTTTGGTTTAAAGCTTGAAATTCTTTGATAAATTACATTTTTGAAAAGTATATGGAAAAGAGTGAGTGAACAGTATACTTTCATATCTTATGCCACATGAGATCATGTATTTTCTATTGTTAATCATTTTAATTAATTTATAAACCATGGCATTTTATTTATTTTTATTAAAAAGTGCATTACTACTACTACTACTAATAATAATGTGTGTGTGTGTGTGTGTGTGTGTATATATATGTATGTATATATATATATATATATATATATATATGCATGCATATATAGCCTTTAAAAACAATGTTTATAATTAGATAGCATAAATATAAAAGTAAATAAATAAATATATAATGTTAACCAAATGTTTAGGTATATCTATGGACAAAAAAATCAATGGGAAATATACTTATAGAATCCAGGTTGTTGGAAACAGAAAATTAGTTTTACAGTGATATTTTTGTTTACAATTCAGAAATTTCCCACAGACCTCCTGGCTATTCGAGAGCGAAATCCGGATAGAGAAAGACTGGTGTAAAGTATAGTAGTCGGGTTGATTTGGTCTTTTGGAATATTTTTGACTCGAATAAAACCAGTCAATTTATATGCTACCATGTGAAGCACATTTTGTTTTACTTGACAAAACATTCTTGCTGTGTATGTGCTGGGAAGCTAACATTTTCCAACTAAATAATATAGATTAAAGAGATTCAGCTGACAAAAAGAGTTTGGGAACTCCTGAGATGCATGAACATCCTTTCAGTTGCATCATTTCCATCCTGATTTCTGGTCAGACTTCTGGAAATTAAATATAACGGACGTTGAAAGCGCTGCTCCTTTTCTTTCTCTCTCTGTTTCTATTTCCGTCTCTCTCTGTGTCTTTAGTCAGTGATGTTAGATAAGCAGTCGTACAGCTTTACTCCCACACACACTCCCTAACAAACTACACTTAGTTCAGTAGCGCGGCTATATATAGAACACACTCGTGTGGCCGTTTCTGGGCTCCTCTTCAAGGTTATGACAGCTCATGTTGGGCCAGTCATCTGCATATTTTATGCCTTGTCCTAAGTTTATCTCTTTCTTGTTTAATAATTTTTTCTCTCTCTCTGAAGCCAGCTGTGTGTGTTCGTGCATGTGTTTGTTGGGTGTTTGGACACCTGGACTGTTGTGTGTTTTGTGTAAAAGACAGAAAATAGACACTGAGTCAAGAAAAAGTTTAGAAAGAGCTGCAGAATGCATGCTATTCTCTGATTCAGATAGAAGTATGAACTAGATTTGCTTGTCCTGAAGTAAAAATACCACTGCTTGCAAGAAGAATAGCGTTAAACATACAGTAGTGTCTGTACTGAATATGAGCAGTGCATCACAACACGACCAAACTAAATCGCATTTTAATCATCAAAGCTGGTAATTTGACACTTCTATTTTTGACATGCTGCACAGCTATTCTAACATACTCTATATCATTAATTGATTCCTGTTAATTTTATGTGATATACAATAACATTTTGTTATTAAACAACTATGTATACACAATAATATGTATACACAGTTGTACTGTAACATTAACAATAAAATAATTTAACAAAAGTCATGAAATCTGTTGAACTTAAAGTAGGAAACACCAAAAATCTGAATTCAGTTAGCATATCTAAACCAGTGTTATTTTAGTGTCATTGTGATGCTTTTATGTTTTTATTAATATTTTGAATTTTTTTTATATTTTTCATTTTAATCTTACTTAAAGTTTAACTTTTTGTTGTGATTGCAGTGTTGTTGTGTGATTTTTGTCTCTTTTTTTTAATCAGTTTTTTTTTTCACTTTGTTTATTTCACTTGTAGTTTTAGTTTTTTAATATTTCAAATTAAAATAAAATTTAAAATGTGGCCTCTGGAACTAGCTGAAATCAAATTAGGGGTCGACCGATTATCGGCCTGGCCGATTATCGTCGCCGATATTAAGCATTTTTATGATTATCGGTATCGGTCATTTTCAAAACCGATTCGCCGATAAAATAACTTAATTTTGAAACACGCCATCACAGTCGGGTTATTAGCAGAGAACACAGAGCAGAGCTTGAATTTCAGGCGCAGGATTGCGGCTATTAATAACAGTTGTACTCATTCCCGCAGGTTCCGCGCTTATAACGCGATGACAGATGACGGAACTTA